TGAATGACTATTGTCATTAAAAGAATAAAATTCAAGGAGTTTAACATAATATTCAATATTAAAAATTTCTTTTAAAGGTTTAATCTTTTGAAAGAAATCAGCAGGATGAATTTCTTTAAAATCAACATGTGAGATAAATGGTTGAATGATGTTCCCAAAGGTAGAAACATTATCAGCGGTCCACTTTGTGATTTCCAATGGTAAATCATTAGTTTGTGCAATTGCCCACTCTATAAGCTTGTCCCAGATTTCAATCTGTTTCAAGAAATGATTAGATCCCATAATATCAATAAGTACATCTTGCTTAATAGTTGTGAAATCTTTTGCTTTGAAAATTAATGAGGAATCTTGTTGAAAAGTATCTTGATGGAACTTAAATAATTTCGTAAAATGACTGAATTGATTTGCGATTTGATGAATAAGGACGAAGTTTTGTTTTAACAACTCTTTATTTTTAAGAAGATCTTCTTCAATGTATGCACACAAGTCATTAAGACATAATTCATCAGCTGCAATCAAAAGCGCAATATTCGTTCTGGTATCTTGTTTTGTAAGATTGATAGTCCCGGCGTACATATACCTAGTGAAGGTTTATTTTTTTTTTTAAAAAAAAAAAGATTGTTTATATAGGGTTTATATAATGAATGAAATTATCTAAATTGAACACTCACTCGACAAGAATATTAAAAACTCTAATGGGAATATTTGGTTTTTGGAGTTTGATGATGTCATTTTTAGTTCGTACCCAATTTTCTGACAAAGCGGTACGAAAGTAGGGAGATCTAATTTTTAATACAAATGAGTGTAGACGAAATACTTTGGAGACAAGTCCTCCAACTAATATTTCTGTATCGGAAAATTCACCGGTTTCAAGTACGTTACTATAATCCTTGGATAAAAATTTTAATAATTTATCAGACATTATTTTTTTTTTTAAAAAAAAAAAAAAAAAAGAATTAGAAATAGAAAAGGAGAAAAATTTATAAAAAGACGTTCTTTTTTTTGTCATTCAAATATACTTTTCATTTTGTTTCACAAATGGCGTATACAAGTAAATCAGACCAAATAAATAATAATGTGTTCAGCGAGTGACGTTTTACGAAATAACATGATTTATGTTATGTCGACGGGGAATAGGCTCCGCAACTGATCACGTTTAAAAAAAATATTTATATACAGTTACATGATAAAAGTACTGCGACGCGTACCGATCTACAAATTCTTGATAAATTATTGAAAGCCCTCATATGCATAGCATAGTCTCTTCAAGAAATAATTTTTTTTAAATATTTTCATATTTCTAACGGCGGCATATGGTTCACAAAATCCAGGATGAGGATATATTGTGTGCCCTATGAAAAATAAATGTCCGGGTGAATCTCGATATTTCATGATTTAGGATAAAATTCCGGATATCATTTTTTTCATAGGGCATTTTGCTTTAACTATTTATTCTAAAAATTATTTTTAAAATTGCTGTATAAACAATTTTTATATTTATTCCATAAATGAGTTGCTGATCCAAATTTGATATTCTCAATTAAATAAAAGTTTCTAATGGAATTATATTTGCTAAAACTTATAATTATTGGTTAAATTTATAAAGACGTTAAAAATAAAATTATGGTTGTCAATTTCAAATGTAAGTCGCGATGCAGTCGACGGCTGAATCGACTGAAAAAGGTCTTTAGAGCTAATCCTTAATTTGTCACGGCTGGTACTATGATACTACTAATTTATTCCTTTATAATCAATATTTTTATTTTTATAGTATATTATACAAATAATTTTGGTTTCTAATGATGCTTTTTAGAATAGCTTTTTAAGTTGATTATAAGATTTATAAAAGAATAAAAGCTAAATTAGTTTTATATTAATTTTGATAATAATTAAAGTACGAATCAAATTCTTACATTTCAATATATTGATATTTGTATCTTACTTGCAAATAACAGATTTATATTATTACAGTTTTATTATTTACTGTACATTGCAAAAGCTAGAAAATCGATAGAAATAATCATTATATTATTTAAGCTTATAATAAATAGATGTCACTGCTGATGTCACCAAATTGTACAGGCCAAATAATTCATCACTTGAAGAACTTTTACAAGAATTCTAAGACCTTAATTTTTCTTTAAAGATTTCATTGTTTATTAAAATTAAGAGACTAATTGCAAAGCTTATTAAACCGTTCAAAAAAACGGACTGGTAAAAGTTTAGTTGAAGCACATGATTGTGCTGAAATTACAAAATTACTGCACTAAAAAAAAGTATAAATTACGTGTCGTGTATATTTTTATTTCAACAAAGAGAATATAAGAAAAAATAAATAGTTTAATGATAATGGCAAAATGATTGGTTATTATTGGTAGTTATCGTAAGGTAATATTATATTTGTATACAATTTTCCCAAATTAAAAAATTTCTCCCACAATTTCAAAATTGCCCAATTTTTAATTTAGAAGCACTTATTAGACGAAGACTAGTTTCGCCTGAAGCATAAATCTTATTGATTTGATAACCATGTGTTACATGATGCAGAAAAAAAAAAAAATCTGCAATTTGAATCATCGTAAAGTTTATTATATTTTAAATGCATATGTGCATTCAAGATTGGTTAAAAATATGCGCACTATTGCAAAGATTCTATTTATTAATTCTATTAATAAATTATTCGCTCTATATATATATATTTTTATATATATATATATATATATTTTTCTACTACAAAAAAAATCTTACAAAGTAACTGCAATGCAGTTATACAATCATGACGCCAACATTATGCTTATTATGAAACATATTACCTTTTGATTCTAAAACAACATATGCGAAAAGGATTCATTCTGTTTGGCTATCGCATATCAATGAAATAGAATTTGCGTCAACTTTTAAAGAAAAAAAAATGTTAATAAAAAATATATTAAATTCAATAATTATTATAAATTCTTTATCATTTAATTCATTTTAGGGCATGAATTCATTGTTTTTTGTGAAAACTTGATTTTGTGTTGTTTATGGTGGTGGTTAATCCTTTAACAACGCATTAACTATATCGTATGATTTTAGACATGCGAACTTAAATAAATACAAATAATGTTTTTACTATTGTAAACCACACACGGATATGTTGGGTAATAATTTTTTTAAAAAAATTTTTTACCCCCATGTAATGTACTTTTTCATTCTCGCTCCCAAATATAATAAAAAAAAAAAAGTGTGTTAATTAAATTGGGCAAAGTCGATTTGCCTGAAACCAATTAATATAGTACTTGCATAATTATGTAGTATTATCGGTCTTACTATAACCGCAATTTCAGTAGACCGAACTAGGCCCTGTTTTACGGGGTTCTTCATGCAAAATGCAAAATGGCGTTATTAAACTAATTAAATAAGATTCCTTAAATAATCAATCTTCTTTACAGTTTTTGTACAACAATAATATCAAATGTGAAATAGCAATAAACGTCAGTTAGAAATCACATCATATCACTTCATTTATGTGACACCTTTCGCGCTTTGTTTTAAAAAAAAGATTTATGGCTAGGAAATGATGTAAAAAAATAAAATCTAAGTAAAGTAAGGAATTTTATGCAGATAATAATCAATTGAGAGGAGAGGCATTTTATTCTGTTCCGTGATATATTCTCGATATTATGATGAGCAAGCAAATAAATTGATAAAAGACCTCGTTCAAGAAGATTCAACCTCGAATTTTCTGATGTGAGCATCAATTCAAAAAAAAAATATGATGGAGAAATAAGTTTTTCGCATTTCTTGTCATATTCTGCATGAAGAGTTTCTGTAATTCATTTTGAAGTATTTTCAGTAACAAAAGGCTTCGTGGCACGCCGGTCTGACCCGGACTTGTAAGTAATGCGAAAATTTAATTCCTGCAAGCAATTAAATATTAAAATCTGGCCTGGCGCTTGTAATTCTTAAAATTCAAAAAGATAATATAATTTTTTTTTTTTTATTAAAGAAAAAAAAATTGTCAACATATAAAATCCCTGATCGTAGATTTTTTGGAACATATATTAACCAATCAGCTCATTTTTGAAATCTGCATTTAAAATAAATTAAAATCGCAAATGCATACGAGTTTCCCGCGAAGATTATTGTGCACGTGAGCAAATTTTTTTTTATGTCAATAGGTCAACGCTACGTCTCAACAACTGCGCGTTATAGGCGCTTATATGATACGTTTCTAAAAGTTTTATTATGTATACATGAAATGATGCATTTATTATTATTCTTTTATCATTATCATTATTTTTTTTTCTTTCAAAGTAATGAAATTACAAATATAAGTACAAAAATTCACGAAAAAAAAAAAATTGAATTATATATTTACGATTAATCTAAAGAGCTATACAATCAAATTTCCTGCACTAATAAAGAAAATTCAAATGTAAATTAACTAAATTACAAGATGAAATATTTACAGATAATATATTTGTTTTGTTTGAGACGAAAGAAAAAGGAAAAAAAATTAGCGAATACGGTTTGAAATTCTATTAATTAGATGTATGCAATTTATATATATGTATTTTTCCTTAAAATCTTGGCAAAACAAAATAAAAAAAAATTATTAAAAGAGAATGTGTTGTGCATGAGAATTGTTAAAAAAAAAATAAAATAAACTATAACAGGATCTCATTTTGATCGTTGCGTAACGTAACGTAACACATCAACTTAATCGCTACCTATCAGACTTTGACGTCCCTCCCATCAAGGAAATGGTTTGCATGAGGTGGAGTGGTGACGAGGAATGAGAAATTTCAACGTAAAAGACCATGTTCAGCCCTCCACCTCAAGTTCATCTTCATATACTTGATGAGACATCATCCGATAATCTGGCTTCTTTAGGTCTTGCAACATCAGTCATGATCAATTCTGGAGAACCCGAGCTTTCATAATCGTCGCGAAAAATTTCGTTGTAACTCATCGGATATGAACAATTTGAAAATATTGATTGCGATGGAGGATGGTGTGAAAGGTATGATCTGGGAGTATATACGGTCGTGGTTGGGCTTACACGGTTATAAGAGTTGTGTGATGATGATGGATTATAAATTTCAAAATCCGTACGTGAATTATGTTTATATTGATGTTTGGATGTTTTCGTCCTTTTTGGCCTACGTTGGAAAAAGGTGACGAAATTAAAAAAAAAAAGATGTCAGAACATAAGATCATGAGGATCACAATGATGAAGTCAATTAAGTTTTTAATTTACCTGCAAAATATGTAACCAAAAATGATAATCCAAAAGTCACGGTATTGTTTGTTCGCAAATTCACCGGTTCCAAAGCATAACAAGAATAAGCTTGAGGATAATATCATGTATAACGCATGACCGTTCCTTTGCCAAAATGGTGTATCGATGGGAAAATAGTTTAACTGAGCATTACCATTGATCAAATACTCGATGCTCTTTTTTATTATTACTATCGAAGTAGGGATGCCAAAGATGATTAACAAGCAACACCAAAGTCCCATACGTAATAGAACATTTCTTGGTAGTAGCATTTTTGCATTAGGGGGAATCGAAGGATTTGGAGGCGGTCCTCCTCGAGTTGGTAGGACGGATGATTCTATGGGTTCTTTATCTATCGCCCATGGAATTGAAAGAGAATTTTGCAGTCTACGATTCTCGAAAACTTTTTTCGCGACGGGAATTAATGCAAATACAGATAAAATGCTAGCAGGAATATTTAATAGATATTCTGGTAATGTTCTAAAGATGAATAAAACTATTCTATATTTCCCATGACGAGACACTTCACATACGCCTCCATTATCAAAATTTGCAGAAACAATGTCGCCTCCGGATAATAATATGATGATGCCAGAAAAAATCGATATAAAAGGAACGAAGAATGCTAAACAAATATTCATCCTTTTGATTGTCGGGTCTTGTCTCGCGGAGGGATTTGTCAGTCTTAAAGAAACGAATAATTCTACAGATAAGGCTAAAGCCAAACCTGCGATCGCTACTGAACTTAGTGATAATGCCAAACCACTTATTAAGCAAGCATAGAATTCTGCCGTCGTTGCATTTTCAATTTTGAATCCATTATATAAAGTTATGCCACCAACTACATATGAAAGTGAGTAAAAGGAATTTGAAACGCTATACCAAATAAGAACGAACCCATTTCGTTTTATTTGCACGTATATATTTTGAAAGCATAATATACAAATTAATATCGATATATAAAATACTAAGGCATCCATTGTAGGGATGGGATGGTAATAGAATAAATGATTAAAACTGGAAGGAAAAGATTTTTTTTTTTTTTTAAAAAAAAAAATTATATATATATATATAATATTTCTGAAGTTATAAATATTTATTAAAATATTTAAATATGATCTTCGTTGTCAAATTAAAAATTAAATTATGAACAAATTTTTTTTATTTTTCTTAAAGAAATATGAAAAAAGTTATTTTTAAATTTTTAAAAAACTTGTGAGAGATGGTTAAATAAATAAACAAATGAATGTATGTTAAAATAAAAGGGGGAGGGCGGGGGGTATTAAAATGAGCCAAAGCGGATTTGAATGAAGAACTAGGGGGAGTAGAAAAAATCTCATTAAAATTTCTGTCCAAAATCCAAGTACCAAGTAAGTTTTATGGAATATAAATACATATAAATTTAATATAAATAAGAATTATTCAAATAAGGTTTACGGTTTTGTAAATAAAATTACAAATAACTGATAAAGGAGGAACTCGGTTACTTTGAAATTGTAGATAACGGATAAATTAATGCTGCGGGATTTTTACATCAAAAAATGTCATTTAAGCAGATTTCCTGATAAGTTTATTTATTCCCATATATTTCCGTTTTTTTTAAAAGAAAGAAATGAATGGTTCTATATATATATATATATTAGGTGATAATGTCTATGCGATCCATCGAATCCCACACTACATGTTTGTTTATCACTTGGTGTGAGAGAAATTTTTGCGATTCTGAAACGTTTCTTTCATTTGTTGTGTCTTCGTGAAAATACATGAATAATAAATTAGTTGATTGGTTTCAATGTCAAAATTATTCGAGGCAGTTTATTTATTTTTTTGTTTTTATTAAATGTCTCACGAAAACTGTTTCTTAATTTTTTATCTTAAAACATTTAAACAAAAAAATATATAAAAGTTAAAAATAAAGGAAAAAAAAAAAATAATGTTCAATTTTGGTAAATCTTCTTATCTAATCTCTTTGATTTACAAAATTTAATAATGCACTGACTGATCTTTTTTTTTTTTTTTCTTATCTTATCAATGAGCAAATTGACATTTTTGGAATGTCCACAGAAGGCGGAAAATTTTTTCCTCAAATTCAGGTTTGGCACAGTTTCCAAAAAAAATTATTATTTTTTGATCTGCAACAATTTATTATTTCCTGGCTAGCGGAGTGGCTAGCGGCGTTTACATCATTCATCTTTGAAATAAAAATAAAAATAAAAATAAAAAAAAATTAAAATTAAAATTTATTTATTTTTCGTGACTATTGCATTTTCCAATTATTATTTTTATTATCTTTGGAGCGACTTTTGACATTCTTTTTGTAAATAAAATTATCACAAAAAATAAATAAAATAATTCACAAAATTTCTTGAAATTAATAAAATTCACGTGTATGTTTTTAATATTATCAACGTTTTTCAAAGGAAATATAAATAAACAAAAAGCCAAATGTTAAAAATAAATACTAGATAACTACGATTGAAATCCTTAAAGCAGTAAAGAATGAACTTCTTTATAAGTCATCAATGTGTTAATTTGGATATGCTGTGACTGTCTGTTATCTTTCGAAATTATCACAAAATAATTGAAATTATGCATTCGTAACTAACTCTACTCTTAATTAAGGCATACCTCGGAAGTAAATCGGAAATGAAATAATTTACCCCAAAAAATTAAAACTTTTTGTAATGGGTGTAATTTTTCCCTTGTAGAATCTCTACCGTTAATGTTATTTGGTGTCATGCATGAACGGAATGTAATGATTCACGTGAGCATTGTTATGTGAAACAAATATGCATTGATAGAAAATTAGCCATTGATCTTATCCCATTCAATACGGATTATTTGTTGCTCAAATTTTGAATCTTTAAAGAACATTCCAGAAATCCCGGATTGTAGCACAGTGAAATTTCAACTTTGACGCAATCAAATTTATTTGTTTGCTTCGGACACGCTTACTATAAATATTATTAAAAACAATTTTTCTCTAACACACAGTTTAAATTTATGCAATTCGTTTCTCAAATGTAACATCTGAATAATTAATTATATTAATGTATCATCATGCTATTCTATTCTAGTTTTAATGCCTATAAACAATAATAGAAGTAAGAAAGTCTGAAATAAATGATTTGATACCAATTAAAAAAACTGGTTATTTAAACAAAAATGTAAGGAAGATTCCGCTATACAATTTAAACAAAAATAAAATAAAAATTGAAAGTTGCACGATATGTCAATAATTATATTATATTACTTTAAGTAAAATCTAAATACATGAATCAGAAGAACTAGTACATAATTTATTATTCATTCTTTAAAAAAAGATCAAATAAAATCCGATTACACAATCAATCAAAAGATGAAGCACATTACATAATAATCTCAGGATTAAATAAATGCATTATCTGTTCTTTTTTAAGTTTTTTTTTTAAGGAGCAACTTAAAAATTAAACCATAACTGTATGTCGGTCGGGTCATCAATTTACAGAAATCCGAATTCCTAACCAATTGACGTTTACATTTAATTGAATTCCCGATTTAGCTCCTATTTATTTGACTTTGACAGGAACATGTAATTATTCCGATTCTTAAAAATATTCTGTGATAACAAAAATTGTGTCTAATATTCTTGGCGCCACAAATTTGCCACGTGATAGAAATGAAAAACATGCGTTTTAAACGTAGAATAAATAAAAACCACCCAACTTTGATATAACGTGTGATATTGATGCGTTAGGTGATTGAATAATAGTGATGGTTAAGTCTCAATTATTTTACTTGTATGTTGCAACCTTTTTTTTTTACATTATACTTTAGATAATTTAGGAAATCATGGAACGATCTTTAAATTCTATTATTAGAAGGTTTTGCCGATTATAACATTTTGGAACGACTTTATGCATGTTCATACATAAAAGTCGAATTAAAAAGGTTAATAGGACATCACATCATTAGTCTAATAGACTAGACTAGACATTCAAAAAAAAAAAAATTTTTGTCTCATGATTGACAATATCGGCATTGGTTATGGGTAATATACAACAATATCTTCCGATTTTTATGACATAAAAAGGGATATCAATAATATAAAACAAACTAATATGGCATGGATCACAGTGTGATTTACAATTTGTTAGTGGTACGATTATCGTGTACTTTCATGTTAATGATTAAAATTCGTTTTGTTAAAGAAATTTTATTTTTTTTTATTTTTTTGAAACTCTCCAGACCCATGCATCACTAAAAAGCTATTAAACTTCCAAATTTAGGTTGCATGCATTATTATATTACATATACCGACAATCTCCGTTTAGCAACGATAAGGAGATTAGATAATGAATGCAAATTTAACACTTCTTATCGATGTAGTCATTTGCGATAACAAATTAGTACGACAAGTTTCCTAGAAAGAAATTCATGACGCCAAAAGCAAACTAAGAATTATCGGATCTAAACGTATTTTATTAAATCAAACGCACTAACTTTAAAACAGATCAATGATCGCTTAAATCTCCAGTTAGCGTTGTAGAATCATGAATGTTATGAAAAATCTACTAGCGAAGAATGTAATTCGGCTGCAACGACTATTTTGCAGATTATGAAGATAAATAAAATCGTTGTTTAAATCTGAATGAGAATGCGTGTGTGTGCTTTGAAGTACGATTATTAAAAGATTATCACGCCATCTATTACATTTAATACATTTCAACAAAATTTTTACTCGGCGAGTTCACCATTAAAGGCAATATACGCTCCTATAGACCATGTCTGGATACTCGTGTCACAGTATTTTAATGGGTTTCACTATAATGTGAGATAGTGAAATCACGCCTTAATTTTAAACTTTTTGATTTTTATGAATTAATATAAATGATATCAGCTAAGCATATATAATCAAAAATTTATGCAATTAGTAAATATTATAATTACATATTTTCCTATATAGTATATCTGAAATTATATAATCCTACAATGGCTTTGTAAGCTAATTTGTTATTTGTCACTTTTATGTCAATTTTATTCAAATTAACTAGAGTTAGCCGTTTTCAGAGATTTCGTCCCCCTTAGCAAACTTAATTTATTTATCATAATTTTTCATGTTAAAGGTTTGAAATTAATAAAATAAAATATTTTTAAATCCTTGTAATATTATATAATGTATTAATTGAAAGGTAAAATATAAAATAATTTAAGGTTGAATTAGTTAGGGTTGATTAAAATATAATTATAATAAATAAATTAATTAAATTATTAATGTTAATAGAATATAGATTATATAAATAAGAATTTAATTAAATTATAATAAATTTTACAGATGAGAATTTATTTCTGTTTATTGATTATAGTATTGAGTTGAATCACGGTTAATTATTATACTGATTTTAAAACATTTAACTAGGATTTATTGAAAGAGGGGACTTCATCCCCACATAACTTATCAATCTACCTATTCATTGCAATGCAATTTACAAGAAACTTTTAATTATAAATAAAAAGAAAGAACAAATAATTAATTGAAATACATATATAAACTGTTTGTCTTTATATAAAAAGAATGTATTAATTAGCTAGATTATAATCTGCATAAATAAATATCAAAAAATTTTTAAAATTAGCATATTTATAAAGGCAAAGCTACAGTGGACTTTAATTCTAAGTGTTTATATTCTTCAATCATCAAATTTTCTGTAACAAAAACTGAAAAATACAGAGAAGTAGTATGTACTTTATATTTATCTAAATTTTGACTCAATATCACAGAAGCTTATCAAGCAGAAATATATGGGGCCTTTGCAATAGAAAGTGGGGAAACTGCCAGGAAAAATTAATTTTACTTTATATGCCAAATATGATTTTTATGCTGAAATATGTTCAAATTAGCATTAACTCACTTTTGATTTTTCCGGCTGTTTCCCCCTTTCTATTGCAAAGGCCCCATATAATTATCAAGATATAAAAATACTTCTGATAAAATTAATCC